ATGTATGTATGTATGTATATCATTTGTTTAAATTTATATTAGATATATATATATATATATATATATGTATGTATGTATATCATTTGTTTAAATTTATATTAGCTTTAAGTAATTATCAAGTATTTTACTTTGTTAAATTACATAATAATAGAAATTACATTAATTTGATGTATACACCTGGTGCAGGTAGGTTTTTTCCGTCCAAAACCATTCCAATAAAGTCGTATGTATATAGGTCAAGATTTTACGATAAATGTATTTTTTAAATCGTTAGAGTTATTTGGTAAAATATATTAGAAAAAATAGAAATAAGTAATGAAAATATCTTTTGAATTTGGCGTAATTGTTACTTTTGCTTTCAAGAGTATATTTCATCCATGGTAACAAGTTTAGGGATGTATTTAGGTTAAGTTAGACTATATTTATTTACACTTAATAAAAATTTGAATTATAATTATTCAAATTAAATTAAATTAAAAAAATTATTAACTCATGATATAAGTAGCGAACTGATCAATAATATATTTTTAGATATTTTTAATTTAATCACTCATTTAGCAGTGGACTTTTCATTTTGTGATGGTTATGTTTTTAATACAAATATAAATTATAATAAAACTACCTTATATCTTAAATATTTTTCTAAAGAACCTCTTAATAAAAATTATAAATTAATGTAATCTTAAAGATAATATATAAAAATATTGTATTAAAAAATTATTACGTGTACTAAAGAATGAATTACTGAGTATATATAATTTAGAATATATTAATTATAAATATTGGTTATACAATATAGACAATATTTAAATTATTAAAAATAATATAGAGAACATGAATAATAGTTCTCAAACCCCTCTCTATTTTACTCTATACTCTCGATATTTAGAGAGAGTGTTTTCTCCAACTCTCTGATTTACTTCCTACTCTCCAATCATAAAGTATTGAATCGTAATTTTTCCAAAATTGGAGAATTATCCATACAATGTATTTCACTTTTTAAATATTATATTGTTATGATTTTATTGTGTAATTAACATATTATTTGTTATATAAGAATATTTATTAAATTTCTAATATTAATATTACATGTAAAATAACATTTTAAAAATATATTATTTAATTGATACTTTTTTTCCGAATTAATAATACATATTTTTAAATTTTTGAACTTTAAGTAATATAATTTGATATGGCTATCAATTTTCACTACGAAGAAAGCACATAATTTAAATGATATGATGAAAATTTTAATTTAAAGTACAATACATAACATAATAATTTAAATACAAGATAACAAAACACTACATAACACAATAATTTTAAAAAACACAACAATAATTTAGTAATTAGGTAGGTCATTTTTTTATTTAATAATATTCAGGAAAAAAAATCAATATATGATCCAAAGAATTGTTGCGGTTGTAATTGCGGTTATGCTTGTTGAACAATTTTTAGCTAGACATAAAAAATTAAGGGGAAAAATGCTCATTTGAACTCTGTAATTGTAATAACCATCCGTATCATTTTCTTTGTTTTCCAATCTTTTCATCGTTTAGAGATTTTCTGGAATGATCACAAGTCATTTACGACTTGCTGAGACTGATAGATTGGTCGTGGGTCATTCGTTTGAATTTTGTGTAAGTTTTCATATTTTAGAGCCTTTGAAACTTGAACGGTTGATTTCAGTCATCAAGTCATTTGTTTGGATTTGTGTAAGTTCTCATATTTTAGAGCCGTTGAAACATGAATGGTTGATTTCAGTTAAAAGTTTAGGAAGATGACCTATGAATGCAATTATGACGGTTTCATCAGCTCCATAAAGGGTCATGTTTGTCTAGGACATGGTTGGTTAAGGTCCAAGACTTCTGGTATGAGTTTGTGTCGTTAGGCATTTTAACTTTGAATTTTAAGTCAAAGGTTAACTTTGGTCAACATTTAAAATTTTGTCAGCACGAGTAGTTTTGGATTGTCGAGTTTGATCTAAAACAATCTTTTCATGCGGTTCCCTAGGCTTTTGATCTCATTTTGAGTCTTCTTGTGATTTTTATCTTAAATGATACTAGTGTATGGGACCCACTTTTTGTCGAAACAAATTCGGAAGGAAGTTTTGATGGTTCTGTTGAGTTTGGAATCCCCAATTCAATAGGGTACAATACTTTGTTTGCACACACGGGTTTTTGACTGAATACCAAGCACCCTTTCGAAGAATTTAGAGTTGGAGCAAACCAGATAAAGTGCTGATATCTAGTGCAAATTATTAACGACCAAATATTAGAAATTTAGCAACTAGAGTTTATTTTTAGTGACCAATATTTAGTATTTATACCTAAAAATTTCAGCTTTAAGACCCTGATTCAAATGACGGTTTATCTATTATTTGAGCTCTAATTTGAGTGGTTCGAAGTCCCATGTAATTGTTGGGAGTGTGGCCACTTGGGTTTGTGATTTGAATTTGTTTGAGGTAAATTTGAGCTCAAAAGTGCTGCCTTAATTTGGGTGTCTTGTTAATATTACATGTTGTGATTCTTTTCGGGCATCAGATTATATTCGATTTTGGAACATAAGTTTGTGGCATAGATTAAGACCTTTTGATAGATTCAATTTTGGTATGAAGGATTTTTTTTGAAAAACAGGTAAATTTCTAACTTATTTTCTCGTGTTTGTTTGATGATTTAAAAATATTTTTCAAAAATATTGCGTATTTTTGACTTGATACTAAAAAATACTCTTTAAAAATTATTTCGGATAAAAAAATCAACATCTATAATTGATCTAATATTCAAACTAGGACAAGATTCCAATAACCGTTTCAAAATCTGACTCTTAGATTTGTCCCAAAACCTAACCCAAACTTTCGACCCTTAACTTGACCAAGGAAAGTTTTATTTCAAAAACAATTTTTTGAAATTGTTTGATGGGATCGCGAGGGGGGAACTAGGCGAGTTGGAAAAAAAATAATTAAATTTGAAATATTTTCCAAAACATGCTATTTTTTTAAAAATAAAAAAAATAAATTGAAACATTTTCTAAGAACTTTTTTTAAAATAATATAAAAATTGATGGAGATGGCTTAAGTAGGGTGGTGGGGGTGCAAATGACATAAAAATAACGTGTTTTCAAAATGACGAAGGTGGAGGGGAGGGGATGAACTTGTTGGGGATGATGTAAAAGTAAAAATAAAATGGCCTAAGTCATCGATAGCCCCTTAAAGTTGTCCGCATAATTCATTTAGACACCTCAACTGAGACTCTTACCAATTAGACACTTTAATATTAATAAATATTTACCTATCAAACATAAAATAACAATTACCTTTACAAATATTGTGCG